GTTTCCACATAAATCTGTGTGTTCTTTTTATTATTTCCATTCTACTATTCACTGAGACCTTGCTCTATTAGGCCCCGGGTTTGTCCCAACATCAGTTACTCCATTCATGAGCTGTTCAACCCACAATTGGCATTAAGGTGCATGATTTGATGGACCTTTTGATGCTCTATTTGCTTCAAGAGTCTATTAATTACCATAGATTGAGCTTAAGGCTAAGGTGGAGTCCATATCGCATTAATTATGTAAATGGTGCAACTTGATCCAACAAAGATCGGGATTATTCTACAGTAGTAGGTGATGTCACACTTTAACTTAGATGTGGCTAAGTTATTTAGCAAAGTGTTTTGTTGATATACTGTCGCGCGCCGTTATTTTGTGAATTGCACTCGTGTTTGGTTTTGCTTCTTATCTCATCGCGAACCAAACGAGTCGGCGAGCGATGAGATAAGAAGCAAAACCAAACACGAGTGCAATTCACAAAATAACGGCCAAAATCATACACAAACACAGAGATTTATGTGGTTCGGTAATTTTTTACGTCCACGAGGAGAGAATGGGGAGATTTCACTATATGGAGGAGAAACAACGGGTTACAATATCTCAAACAACTCTCAAAATAACCCAACCAATGGTCTCTCACTCCCTCACAATAATCGTCCTCTCAAAGTGCTCAAAAGAACCCAAATTCTTTGTTCAAACTCTCTCTCTTAACCCTAGAAACATGTGTTTCTATTTATAACAAATCCAATGCAAAACAGGGTGGGAATCTAAAAACGAATCTGCCACACCCGGGTGTGGCACGCACCACACCCCTGATAACAGGGCAGATTTTGTCATACCTGAGTGTGGCACACACCACATCTCTGACAATAGGGAAGATTCTGTCATACCTGGGTGTGGCACGAACTACATCCCGGCTGCTAAATTTTCACGTTTTTCAACAATTTGAACAATTCGATGCCGTTTTCTACATATACTTTCTCCAATTGTCATTAACTCATTGATTTAGTCACAAGTTGGATTTGCCTGAATTCTAATAGTAGTATCTCTCACCCATTAATTCAATTCAATTTGCAGGTTTTGTCTAGCAAGCATATGATATGAGATTTTAATCATATTGAAAAAGAAAAAGCGTTAGATGAATATACGTTTGGATTGGTAACTCAATTAAGGCTTGATTCTTTTTTGTCAATAGTTCAACAAAGATATTAGTCAATCTATCTCTTCATGGGCAGTTACCAAGAGGATTTATAAGGTAAAAATAGCAGTACGAGTTTCACATTATTGCAATAGTATTAACAATCAATATACTAGCATTACTTTTTTTTTGGTCAATGAAAAATTTTGTATTAATTAAAACCAATTGTAAAGTTTATGTACATCACATATCTCTATTTGAGATATCTATTTACATTTTGAAGATAGAAACCTGAAAACTGCAGCACATTATCCCTATGACGAAATCAGCCAGTCTTTGAGCTCAGGAGGGCTAGAGTTGTTTAGAGAAATGGTTAACAACTCCACCTTAATTTCTTTGATCAGTACTTCTGGAGCTCTACACTTATGCTTGAATATTCTCTCATTTCTTTCTTTCCAAATACAATAGACTGAAGTGGACAAAGCCATTCTTTTAAATCTTTTTTTGAAACCCCTCCCCTTCAATCTGTTGCAATACCAGTTTATAAGCAAATTCCAATCACAGGTTCTCCATTTGAATTGAAGCCAATTTGTAATCCCATTCTAGACTTCTTGAGAGAAGGAACAAGAGAAAAAAAGATGATTTCTATTTTCCAAATTGGTACCTGAGCATAGACTGCAGCAATTAGATGGAATAATACCTCTGCTTTGAAGTTTGTCTTGAGTAAGTAGCTTGTCTTGGATTGCTAACCATAACACAAAATTGTGTTTGGGGTAATACCAGTTCTCCCAAACTGTATCATGCCAGAGGACTTTTGTAGATACTGAAGAAAGGGCATTATACTAGCATTACTACACGTGCAAATGCACACGCAATGGACGTTAAACTTATTAACTATAATTTATTAGAAAAATTGTTTTAATGTCCTAAGGTTTCAGTTACTATTTTTATTTTAACATTTTAAAGTTTAAATTTATCCAAAAATAATGTTCTTATAAACTTTGAGATCCGAAGATGAAGTTATCGGAACATGAGAAAGTTGCACAAATTTTACTAAACAAATCACTAAAAGTTTTGTAAATATTAACTTTTTTTTATATACAATAATGAACACTATAAAAAAGTATAGTGAGTTCGACATCGCGTCATCTAGGGTTACAATTCTACAATTATAGTAAAATTTAAAGTGGAATTGTTAACTTCAAAATAAAATGGCCAATCCAAGTAACACATTTGCAAAATAATTTTTTTAAGACAAATTTTAGGAGGCCAAATTAAATTTCTTGATATGGGTGGAATAAGAAGATCTTCAAATTAATATGTATCAATGCATGAGTACATGTTAATTATATATGTTTGATATAGCTCCATTCATGATACGTATCATCTTTTACTCTCTTCATGGATTTTTATATGATGTAAAATACATGCTTAATATATTATTTGTTCCAAAAAGATAAAATTAAAACTAAGTATATGACGACTCCAATTTACGATTTGATATTAATCTAAAAGTTTTCTTCGTTTCTTAGTACCTAGGAAGAAAGAAGGAAATATCTTATTTCAGTGCATCAACTTTCGATATACACAGAATTTCTCAAAAAAAAGTAATGAATAGATGAAAGTTTTAGCTTTCTAAGAATAACAGGGGATGTTGATAGGAAGTCGATGATATTACAGAAAACTTGTTGTTCGGAGCTTTTACCCTAGCTGTTTAACCATTGGATATCAAAATGTGTATTCTTTGTTTGCTTAATTAATTAAGTCAGCTTTCCCCTAGAAAACTTAAATGCAGTCTTGGACCTTCATGAAGAACTCTTCTGCTAAAAAATTAAATGCATTAGACCTTCATGCCAAAATATTTTTTGTTGGAGGAACTCTTGACAAACACTAATTTTAATCATTTTAATCTGAGTGTAGTAAACAGTGGAGAAGAAAGAGATTAAAATGGTTAAGGAAGCGGACGAAACTTGAAGACAAATTACAGTACGTACAATAGGTGAATAAACTGGATAAGCAAAAGGACAGAACTTGAAGGACAATTTACTGTATCAATAAGTGAAAGTTTTCTGTATAATAGTATAAATGCAGTCACGTACCTTCATGAAAAACCCTTTTGCTAAAAAAAAATGAATGCATTAGGCCTTCATGCAAAAATGTTTATGTTGGAGAAACTCTTGACAAACACTACTTTTAATTATTTTAATTGAGTGTGAACAGTGGAGAAGGAAGAGATTTAATATGGTTAAGTAGGACAAAACTTGAAGGACCAATTACAGTAGCAGTAGGTGAAAAAAGGACAAATTAGTGTATAAGTAGGTGGAAGTTTTTTTTTTATATAATTAATAGAATAGATTTAAAGGACAAAGTAGAACAATTAAAAATATAAACAACTGATAACAAAATCAACATAAGATAGTCTAATAGTTCTCATAAGATTTCAATAACACAAATAAGATTTATATGAAACTAAATTTCAACCTCTTAGATTGTTAAGCAGTTGGAAGATTTTAGACTGTTGATCATCTAACATTTCAAAGAAATTAGGCTTGGTTTAGTAGGGGATATAAGGACGGGAGAGTGAGGGGGAGGTGAATGATTTTTTTGTTCCTTGTTCGGTTGAGGGGATGAATAGGAGAGTTGAGATGATGAGTTATAGTAAAAAAAGATTTTGATAAGAGTAATTAGATATTCTGAACTTTGTCTTTACTAATTAAGCCTTATCTCACTTAAACCTCACCTCCATCTCCGAAAACCTCCTACCAAAAAGAAAATTTTGTTTTATTCCTCACCTCACTCTGCCTCCGCCTCCTACCAAACCAAGTCGCCAACGTTTGTTTTATCCATCAAGTTTGCTGCACAAGCTGGCTTTGGCAACTGTAGACATAAACTAACTAAACAACTGATCGATCGAGAACAAAATCGGTGGCCACTGCAGCCAAAGCTCAAATCAAATCAATCTAAAGTGTGGGAGTCCGGAGACATGACAAGTAATCAGAGGAACTAGATTACTAGGCTAGCTTCTCAATGATACCAGCGTATGGGCGTTAGCATGAGAAAGGAGCGAAGCTATCAGTTGTAGAGGGGGAATATAATCCTGCGAGTTTCGATGGAGTCATGCTGGGTTAAAGCCACACATGCATCTCTCTCTCTCTCTCTCTCTCTCTCTCTCTCTCTCTCTCTCGATGAGATTAAGGCTGCAGTTTTGGGTGGAGAAGGAATCGAATCAGCCTGCTGTTTCAGGCCAAGCACCCCTTCCGAAGGCTGATAGCCTGCTACTCTCTCTCTCTCTCTCTCTCTCTCTCTCAAACTTTATCCACTGCTGAACAAACAACAAGAATCTCCAAGCACTTCCCTCCATCATCTCACCTTTTCCCCTTTTCTCCCTCGCATTGTCTACACAATGGAAACCCCAAGTACATATACAAGACCAATTAGTTAGTTTTATCATTAATTTAATTAAGTCTAATTAGGAGAAACTAGTGCGTCGCTAAAAATGTTCAAGATGTAATTCAATACTAGAATTACATCAGAGAATCCAATTTCTCGAACAATAATATCTAGAAACGGACTAAAGTGAAATATGGGTTGACATTAACTTTCAATACTTAAACACATCATATATAGCTGAGAAGCTAAAGAGAGGTAATTAAATATTACCAATTAAAAGAAGGAGAAACACTATCCATATATCCCATTTCCCTCGAACTTAGCCCCCCCATTACACGTTTCCCACAACCTAAAAACATAATTAAACCACTCAAGAAAAAAAAAGAAAAGAAAAAAAACAACAACCACCACCTAGGAAGAAGAACTACAACTGAGAAAGAAAGAAAGAAGAAGAAAAAGATCAGTAGTACTCTCATGGGAACGCTCCATTCGCCGTCGAAATATCAGGCCACGTCATCATCGGATTCCAGTACCCAAAGTCTCCCCCAGTCAACGGAATCGGCTCCATAATCGAGGAAGCCGTGCTCATGACAGACACAGCGGTCACCGGTGCGGCAACAGCAGAAGGGAAGCAATTGGCATTAACACCAGGAGAACTCACATTGTTCGACATAACTTGCAAATGATCACTGTTCATCGACGACGATCTCAGCCTCTGATAAAGCTCCTGGATCCCAGAGCTCGTCGGCGCTTCACTCAGCAGCATATTCTGCTGCTGCTGGTAGTGATATGCAGGACTCTCGTTCCTAAACATCGGGAGCTGAGGCTCACTCATCATTGCTCCTCCCCCGATTAAACCCCCCTCCTCTTTAGCCCTAACGGGGTTAAGAATAAAACTAGAGTTAGGGTTAGGGCTAGGGCTAGGGTTAGAGTTCTGCATCTGGCTGGCTCTGAGCAGGGCCATCAGATGAGAACTGTGAGGCACACCAGCCCACAGCAGCTCCGGCGGGGCCCGGCCCACGACGTCAAATGATGACGTCATGGGCTTGGCCTTGCTGAGGCCAGCAGTGGTTTTGCCGGCTATGGCGATGTTTGGGGATGAGGATTTGGTTTTCCTGCA